ATTATTAAATAAAGATAATAATATAAATAATTTAAGAGATATTTATATTATTATCTTTATTATTAAATGAAAATTTATTATATGTTAGGTAAATCTAATAATTAATTAATATTATTATTATTTTAAAGTTTATAAAAGTTTTTAAGTATATTTATTATAATAATTATAAAAGATAAAAGTATAAATAAAAAGATAAAAAGTAATATAAATTTAATTTAAAGTTAAATTTAATTATATTTTAAGAGAAATTTTATTAAATATAAATAAAAAAGAAAATTTTTTTTAATTATACTTTTATTAATTAATTATATTATAGGGGGAAATTAAGTTCCTATAGCTTAAAAATTTTTAGCTAATTAAAAAGTAATAGGGGCCCTATAGTAATAATTAGGTTAAGTTAATTACAATGGTCAGGTTAGGTCAGGTAGGCGAGCAATGGTCGGGTGGTATGCATTCTCACTTTTTCATCCAGTTTAGGCCGGCCAAGCCAAGCCACTTTTGTTGGTTTTTTGTGTCGTTTTGCATTAGTTCTAATAGCCCTTTAGAGAAGTTTTTGCGCTGATTTAACGGGGCCGTCTCTGGCGATGGCTTTCATTAACCAATGAAACCCCAGGCTATTGCAAGGAGGCGCCAGGCGTGTCTAATTTCACATTTTCTTCCTCCACCCCGCGTGTATTATTACTGAAAGGCTCCAGCGGACCAGGAGCACGAGCGTTTTCGGGACCATGCAAGTCAATTGAGCGCAGGTGGAGGTGGATGCGAAGCTGAAAGTCTTCGGCATGTGCTTTCTTGGGAAGACGCTGGTGCTACCATGATGCAGCAAAGGCGGCCAGGTAGGACTGCGGCCCTCCGTCTGGGTCGTGTGCGACACATGAACAGTTGGCAAAGCCCACGACAGGTATCGCAAGAGTGCTGTGGCAAGCAATCGACAGAAGCACAATCAACTCTGACGGTTTTCAGCACCCTTCAATGTTCCGGGCTGGAGGACGCGCTGCCGCATCGCGAGCGGCCAGTCCCAACACGGTTAATGCGAAAAAAGTGTGAGTCACCGGTCGGACCCACCGGCTAGCGTATTGTACGTACTGTATTGTACATACGGAGTACGGAGTACGCTTGGAGCCAAAAGGGCGCGGTACCTGACGAGAGGCGCTCTAAGCCCTTAACAGCCTCGCATACAGCCGTGCACGCAGCTCTGTTAGGGCTGTGTGCGGCTTTCAGCCGGCTCCACCTTGTACCGCACCCGTGGACGGGCGCATTCCGCTGCTTGCTGCCTGAGAAATACAAAACCTCGCAAATTTCTCGTCCTGCCCAACTTCTGTTTCTTCTCCTCCTCCACCCCAATACTTCTTCTACCACACAAGTCACAAGTCAGATCAACGCCTCAGGCGGCCTTCAAGATGCTGTAAACTACCTCTTTTTGAGATTTCCCCCACAAATCGTCAAAATTTCGTCTAAAGACATAAACAACATTTACCCCACTCAATCCCTCCCCCGTTCAGCTCACCTTTCGGTTGATCTGGACTTCAGCACTGCTATAGAAAGCATCAGCTCGAGTTCTCCTCTCACCGCCGCCACCATTTCGGCCCAAGACTTTCCAGTCTTCACCACGGATACTCAATCAACATGGCTTCCCAACTCCCCATCAGCCCTGCCGGCACCATCCGCGCACCAACTGCAGAGCCCCGTCGAGAACCAGCAGGATTTTGTCTTGTTCGACAACCCTCAGCCCCGTCAAGTCCCTAATCGGTCCTCTGTTACGCTGTCCAGCCAGCGCCGTCATTCAAACCACAATCGCAGAGACAGGCTTGTTTCTTCAGCTGTCCATAATCCGCGAGTGGCCCAAATAATACAGGCTATTGGACATCAATCATCGTCTTCAGTTATCGCCAACCGTTTCGCGAATCAGTTTTACGCCTCATCGGCTCCGTCGTCTTCCGTCTCCCTGAGCAGTCAGCAGAAACTCCAACAGCATCAGCAGGGTTCTGTCAGGCCTCCTGTACCATTGTTCAATCAGAGCATCGGTAGCGTCCATCAATCCGCCAAGATGATGAACGCGGCAGACGTAGACCTGGATGAGTTTACCGCCTTCGAAGGTGGTGCCTCCACGGCATTCTCATCTCCAGCCCCATCCGTCATGGATTTCAGTGGTAGCATGTCAAGCTCCACTTCGAACTTGGGCACTGTTTCTCCTCAGGATTTGCTCGTTCAAGATCCCTTCATGTCTGCGCCCAATTCCTCTGCTCTTACTGCGCTGACGTCACCCTCCATTTACAACGAGTCTCCCGACTTTGATGGATTTGACGTCTCTCCCAACTTTGGCAGTGCAGATTTTGAGACATCTAGCGATCCTTGGTACCCTCTGTTCCCTCAGGACTCTGGCCACAGTGGTCCTGAGGTGAATCTGGAGGATTCACCTGCCCAGAAGTCGGATGACATTGACTCTGTCGGTCGTGTTTCTGGCTCTGGTAACCGTAAGAAGGCCACAAACTCGCCCATCAGCAGTGGCCGTCATTCTTCCGTTGCCGGTGTCAGCTCGCGCAAGCGAGATAAGCCTTTGCCACCTATCATTGTCGAGGATCCCCATGATACCGTTGCCATGAAGCGAGCTCGTAATACTCTCGCAGCTCGAAAGTCGCGTGAGAGAAAGGCTCAGCGCTTGGATGAGCTGGAGGATCGTATTGCCAAACTTGAGGCGGAACGTGATCATTGGAAGAAGATTGCTCTCTCGCAATCTGGCGCGCAGACATAAAAGTCAATTGTTTTTTGTATTTTTTTTCTCGCTTTTCCTATACGCCAGTTGACCAGAGGTGTCCGTGGGAGAGTCTAATTTTCGAGACTTGTGTTTTTCCGTTAGTTCAGATACAATTTCAATTACTTTTCCTGTATACTCTGAAAGAGCCCTTGTATGATCGTGCGTGTCTCTTATGTCCAATGCATCAATGAGAGAGTTAGTATCCGTTCCCTAGGCTCTGAACAGGCCAGGATTCTGTGCTAATTGATATCCGGGGTCGTTGTGCCATTGTCCGCCCGCTCGCTCTCGTCTCGAGAGACATCTTTCCAGATGGTTGACAGAGTCAGTATAGGGTAGCTATATCGGCTACGCGACGTTACTGTACTTGAACGTGCCGAGCATCCGAGTTTCTGCTTCAATGATCCTGTGGTGAAATACTCGAGAAGCCAAGCGTGAGTCAGATCTTAGGCAATAGGTCTTGCGAATCACAAGTAATCTTACTGCTAGCACTAGCCTCGGGTACTATCCAACACAGTTGCGGCTGAAGATGACCGTGACCCGCTCACGGTGAGCGAACAAAACTGAGCAAGCCCCCTTCTCTTTCTTATCCTCGCGCTTCGATTTTGAACTCCAAATTTGCCACCCTTTGCGCCTATTGCTGTAGGATTGTCCTTTGTTCTCAGACCTATCCTACCTGTCTGTCACTCCTTCACCCGGGTGCCTGCGCGCATCTGCTCTATCCTGCGCTATAGAAGAGCCAACATCTCCAACACACAGGAGCCTCACTATTGGAACTTGTGTGCCACCATCCCTTTACAATGGGTCCCCGTTCCTTTGCTCTCGGAGCCTTGTGCGTCGCATCTCTGGCCCTCGCTCGTACAGATCTCGTTGGATGCACATACTTCGACACAGTTAGTGCCTACCCCGGTGGCCAGCCGTTCGCAACCCGTATCTGGTACGTTCCAGGATCTGGCGAGCTATGCGAATTCCTTGATTGTGGCGGCGGCCGAGCCCCTCCAAAGACAACCGTCCCGGGATGTGCAGCTTATGAGGGAACCGAGACCTATTCGCCCTCGTTTATCAACCCGAAGACTCTTGGCCACGTTCCGGCTACTGTCAGCCCGGCCAAGACCAGTGCTGGAACTACTACCGCTGCTTTTTCCCCTGTAATCACTGGAACAGAAGTGCCTGCTGCCACCAAAGTCTCTGAATCGTCAGAGACTGGTTCAAAAACATCAATGATGACGAGCACACCGTCAGGCTCCGGAAGCAGGGGAGCGGCAATAACCAATACCACGAAACCCACCACGATAAGCAGCACTGGCGCGGCCGCCGGCCTTCCGACAGCCGGCCCAGTATTGGGTTCCTGGATGGCTGCCGGTGTCGTTGCTGGACTTGGCCTGTTCTAAACACGCCTAGTTGCCTAAGCAGTGACGTTGTGAGCTGGACATGATGTATATTAGCTGTCATAGACCTTTATGGATTTTCGGCATACTGTATAATGAAATTGGCAAAATACGGATGCGTAATACCGCAAGTTATATTCTCATAAACTCTGATGCACCGGCATACACCTGGCGATGAATGGATATGTTTTGCATATTCTGTGACACTACTCCGTATTTTCGGAGTTATGTTAGTGGTAGGTGGAGATATTTCTACTCTTACGCGTTTGACCACATGCTACCCGGTTTATCAAGGATATTCATTCCGCATTTGCGTCAGATTCATTACGTCGGCAGTGGATTTGCGCCGGCACTCGAGATCACGGCCCGGTTCCCTAACGCGTCCGGAATCGGCGGTTGGTGCCTACGGGAGTCTTGGCGTGACATTTGGTCCAGGCTCTGTGTCTGTATCATGTGTTGCTGCCTCTCTAGGCCGGGGTCCAAAGCGTGAATGTGGCTGTTTGGTTGGATAACACAAGAGGGGCGTGCCCTGATGTGCATTGCAGCCGATACACAAACTCTAGGCAAGCTGGAACGTAAAGGAGTGTCAAGATTGCATATTTCTCTGCAAGTCCATGCCGTACCCAACCGGTGAAAATATCGAGAAGTGCTGCATGAACAGGGTGGTAGTTGAAGAGACTCGGAAACCGATCGTCATCCAGGAATGGTGGGAATTGGGGTCAAGGATGGGTGGGCCACAGAACCATCAGGCTTCCAAAGTTCCTTTTTCCTTCGCTTGATGTTCACCATGAGACGGGACACTCCGGGCCCTCCCCTCACAGCCAAAGTAACTTGATGGCTTGAGATGTCTCCGCAGCATTTCTTGCAAGCCCCTCTCTGCTAGTAAGACGTCGTGTTACGGCAACTGGGAAAGGGTACATGTCAGGAGGAGGGTTGATAGGCTCGACCGGTGCTGCTGTACGAGAAGATGATAGGCTCGGCCGGTGCTGCTGTACGAGAAGATGATGTAACCAGTCCACTCAGGCAGTGCCTCCGGTTGGATGAGCTGAATGATCAGAAGAAGCTGACGGATAGGAGCATCGACGTATCCCCGGGGAGAAGTGCAGGCGCATGTAGACGATTCTGGTCGATATTAAGTAACTTTAACGTTGAACTTTTCTGAGAACCAACCCGCCAGACGGTATCTCTGTCTCTTCTCCATATCGCCGCCGCCAGTTGACAGCTTGAGATGTCGCCCCGCTTGACTACGCTCAACTGGCAAGAACGTGGGGAAGGGGGAGGAGGAGCACAGCAGATTCCGGAAGATGATCCGAGAAGGGGACCATCAACAAATATTCAATCCCCTGCATTACGCCAATCGCTCGAACCTCTCGACACCAACGCAGGATGTTAACGCTGATTTCATTTGTGATAGCCGCCGCTCCGTATAACTACCAACTGATTATCATCTCATCACATCTCTTCAATTCGTCCGCAGGACTCCGCTGCAAGAGCCCGTTGGGCCAATTCCAAAATTTAAGACCGTGCAAGCACTCCACCTGCAAGAGCACAGTTCAATATTCACGTCTGAAAGAGACGATGGCCGCGGTCCGCCCAATCGAATCAAGCCCTGTAATCTTGTTCTCCATCGTCCTGCCACCCCTCGATCTTTAAGGGCTTAGCCTGATTGCCCTTGCCAACACCGCAGTGGAAGACTGGGAGCAGAACGGCGAACGGGAGCAGAACTAGGTAGGCAGATGCGCAGCCCGAGTTGCGGACCTGTGATACTTCGATTCTTCGCCGACCTGCCACATCTGTCCACCTGACCCACGCCATCGCCGCCTGGGCGCCCGGTCCTAGACGGCTCCCCACGTCGCCAGAGTGCCTCCAGACTCATCAAGCTTCGCTACGTCTCGTTACCCCAAACATTCACGCCTTTCTTTGTCTCATCGTTCTACCCCACACACACCAAATCCAACCGAGCCGGACCAACCACCTACCGCCGTCACCGACTCGGGAGACGTAGCACTCCAGATGCCCCAATGCCGGCCAACGGAGCGCCGGTGCTCTCCCCGGAAGGGGCACTCTATTGCTGGATTCTTGGGGAGAGCGGGCGGAAGAGTTTGTGGAGGAGAGGCGCAGCTGACTCGAATCACAGGGCCACAAAAGTACGTAATGGGGCCGCATGTAACCGTTGTGCTTTGCCAAACGAAGTCTGGCATTGGCAGGCAACACCGGAGTCCATGATGCCTCGCCAGGCCGTCCAACTGGTACACTCGATTCTTTTGTACGATCGGTGGGGACCGAAGGCGAGGCAGGGCACACCTAGCGAGTCACGAAGATTGCCGCCCTGACACAATAAAACCACATGGCATCTTGGAATCTCTTAAGCCAGATCTTGCCTCCCATCCACACTTTCTTCCCTCTCCATCACCCCACAACAACCGTTACACCTATAATATACCTCTCTGACCTCTGTGATCACGCCCAGAACCTGGGGAAAGAGTAAACAACTTCTATTGGACAATGGTTTTGTGTGCTGCCTTCACTCCACCTGCGTTTGACTTCAACAGCCGCCTTCACAGCCCGAGTGCTCCATCATAAAATAATTGAGGCGCCAAGCTTGCTTGGTTTCCAGCTATCGAGTCTATTTTATTTACACAGCATCGGCTAGCAAGACCAGACATCATGGGTTCTCGAGGCACCGTTGTTCAGCCAGAGGGGACACCTCGCTCCTGGTGCAGAGACAACTTCTTCCTCACCACCGACAAGACATTCCTCGACCCCAAAGCCGTCAACGAGGTGTTCGAATCGGACCTGATGTGGTGGAACGATCCTCTCGAGCTTAGCCAGATGCGCAAGATGCTTGACAACTGCCTCACCCTGGCAGTCTTTTATGTCCCAGATACTGAGGAAGAGATGACACGTAAGTTTGTGCCAAAGAATCTCTGAAAATCAAACAGAGCAAATATGTGACATTCAAGACCGTCTTTGGACACGTTTTTTCTAACCTTTTCTTTTCCATTTTCTTCAAATCAGGCAATGGCGGCATGCCCCGATACATGAATAATGGCCCTGATTTCAGAATGATCGGTCTGGCTCGCATTGTGACAGACTATGTCACCTTTGCGTACCTCACCGATGTCTTTATTATCGAGGAGTTCCAGCGTCGAGGCCTTGCCTCATGGATGATGCGTGCTCTGAAGGAGCTTGTTGATGAGTGGCCGAATCTCCGTGGCCTCATGCTCATGACCAGTGACAAAGCTGCTGCTCGCATGTATCAGCGCACTCTCGGCGCGGTCGATTTTGACAAGGGCCCTTCAGCAGGGTTAGTCATGTTGGAGATGGGAGGAAAGGGTCAAAAGGACGTTCCGGATGAGCATTAATTCGGAATCAATTCGGAAAGAGGAAGGATATGGAAAGAGAGTGTGGGGAAGAACAGTCGCGTCAATGATCCGTCCGTATGACTTGCAATGCTTCCTCCTCATCTCTACTTTTCTCTTTTAGAACAATTGGCATCGTCCCGGAATTTCGATCAATGTTAGCATAGCAGTTTTTCTTTTTTCTTTTTTTTTTAGCGTACGGCCTTGGACTGTGCAGCTCTCAATTCAACGGCTCGTTTGTATGGCGGCGCAATGGGAGGCTGCACAGGATCCAGAGAGACATGGTCCTCAGGGAGCAGATAGGATGCATCAGAGTCGAAGGCTGATAGATCTCCACAAGCAACAAACGGCGCAATCCATCGCGTACTTCTGTCGCTGCCTTGGTTGTTGCTGCCATTGCCACTGCCGTCGATATTTTTCGTCTCGTCGTAGACTTCAAGCTCCGTGATACCGGAAGAATCGAGGGCATTTACACCCATGACCGATGCTGGGGTGCAATCCCATGCGCCAGTCTGCGGATTCTGCATGGCCGCGTGAGCTACAACAGGCAACTGCAGCTCCCTCTCCTTGACCATCTTGTCCAACCTTTGTCCCACACCCAGAGGCTCTTCTAAACTTGCATGGAAGCCCATGGGCGGCCTGAAGTTCAAGCACACGATGAAGGCCTCCATGCTGCTCGCCCTCGAACTTCTGGGCTTCGCCACGACCACCCTTTCGAAAAAGATCTTGAGCTGCGCATACAGCACATCGACGTTCCTCCCCCTGAAAATCTTGGCCACAAACTTGCCGCCCGGCTTCAGCACGCACAGCGCCAGGTTCAACGCCGCGAAAAGCAGCTGGCTCTGCACGTAGATGTCCAAGTCATGCAGGCCGGTCACGTCGGGCGCGCCGTCGCTCAGCACCAGGTCCACGGGGTGCGAGGCCTTGCCCTCGGCCGCCGCACGCTGCGCGTCGTAGCCCGGGTCCAGCGCCCCGAGGAGCAGCGGCACCGTCGCGGGGTGCGTGATGTCGGCCTGCAGCGTCGTGATGCCCGCCAGCGGAGAAATGGGCTGCAGGTCAATCGCCACGATCTTGACGTCGTCCCTGGGCCGCGACGCCGCGTGCTGTGCGGCAATGGCGGCCTCGACGGCCTCCTTGCCGCCGGGCGTCGTGGACGCCGGCAAGACGGAGAGCATGGAGCGCCGGAGGTGCGCTTCGCCGTCCTGCCACGACCTCAGCCCGAACTGCTCGTTCTCGATGAGCACCCGCGACAGCACTTGCGACCAGGAGCCGGGCGCGGCGCAGAGGTCGACTACGCGGGAGACGTTGGCGAATAGATTGAATTCTGGGGACGTTAGCCGTGGTGTGACGGGGCTGGAAGGGGGGGGGAGTCGTGACGGACCTTCGTCGAGCTGGAGGAGCTTGAAGGCGCTTCTGGCCCGCCAGCCTTGTTCTTTGGCGAGGCGGTAGTACGCATCGCGCTTGTCTTTGGACGATTTGCCCATGGCGAGGCGGCGACGGTGCTGGCTGGCGGGAGAGAGTTGGGCGTTGAGGTTGGATTTTGGGGTACGTTTTTTTTTTTTTTTTGCTTTTGGAGGTTTGATAACATCCCCGCCATCCCGCGGGGATGGATTGATTGCCCCACCATTTCCTACGTGCTAGATTGACAACCTGGACCACGACTTGCACTTGTTCGTATTCCCATGTTCAGCGTACACATTTGGGTGAAAGTGATTACAGTTGATGAGTAAACCGGCAGTTATATTTTATTTATAACTTAAATGCTACAAGTCTACATGTTATCGTACATCCAACATTCTAAATCATCCCCAACTCACTGCCAACAGCCTCCAACGCCTCTCCCAGTAATCTCAAGATCGTGTCATCCCCGCCGACACCTAAAGCCCTCACCAACAAGGGATAAAGCCGCAAAAGGTGCTTCCTTTTTTCGCCTCTAGCCTTCTCCAGCGAAGGAATAGCCTCACCACGGCTTTCAAGCTCTACGAGCTTCGTCAATGTCCAAACGAGCTCCTTGCGCTGACTGAGTGGTTGTGGCATCTGTCCACGTAGTGGCTGGTCAGCGACATAGGCGCGAATGGCCAGTGCGCATCGGAGAATGAGAAATGGTGCTGCTATGCTGGCGATGCGGTTTCGAAGTGTGGATACCATTTCTTCCCCTTGTTCAACATGTTTATTTTTCTTGGATTTTCCTTTCATGGGTTCGGAGGCTGATGACTCTACAGGGTCTTGGGCAGACACCAAGGAGAAGAGCTCGTCGAAAGCAACGTAGGCCATCCTCCTTCGCTGCGTGGGCGGAATTGCGACCGTACGACCTGGCCTCGGTGCGCAAAGGGAGCGTAGGCCATGTTCGTCCTCTCTGTCTGGGAATTCTTGTTCTGTATGTGTGAAATTGTGGATGATGGAATTCTTAAAGAGGCTCTCGGCATACGATTTTCTGGCTTTATCGGGAACATCATCTGCGCCAAGAGATGGGATTATGAGGGCTCGAAGGCTGCGGAACGAGGAAATGTCAAACGTTTCGTCCTCGTCAAAGGATGCTCCATCGACAGTCTCATCGCATTCCGCACTGAGAATACCATCTGCCACACCGACGACAGCAACCCAAATTTCCTGGACTGTGTTGCCGGGAACTTCTAGCGCGTTGATTTTTGGGAGTGAGGCCTCCAGTATGGACAGCACTGATGAGGTTGCTAGTCTCCAAGGCTGGACTGATTTCGTAGAGATGGGGAAGTCGTATTTCAAAGCAATTGGCTTATGAAGAGCTGACAGCGCATCTGAAAACGCGCCACTATTATAAATGTCCTCATCAGACGCGTGGTTCAATATGAGAGCCTCGACAAGCTTCATGCTGGCCTTGGACATGGCCACGTAGGTGCGCTTCGAGCCGGAGGTATAAAGCTCTCGTTTGTACGCCAATGTGACAAACTCTGACACTTGTTTAATCACGGCTGATGTCACGCCTTCCACATCAGTTCGAATCATTTGAACAGCTGCGAGTGTTTGAGTCTGCAGACTTGTAGCATGCTCAATGTCCGAAACATGTGCACTAACTGAAGCTTCTTCCACAGTCTGGCGCAACAAGGCAAGCATGCGTCTTACAGTTTCAACAGTCAGATCTTCTTGAATTAGATTATAGACATCTCGCAGTGCCGCGACGTACGCAACCAAGCAGTTCTGATTGTCTTCTGCCTTGTCGTCTACTGCTTTTGAAGTCGGAATGCCCCTTGACCACAAGTCCCATGCGAATTCAACAGTCATCTTGTTGAAGATTGGTTTCTTGTTGTCTCCGGTCTGTGAGAGAACATGACTTAGGGCCTTGAAGGCAGCAGTATTGATCTCGAGAACCTTGAAATCAAGCAAGGTTGCAAAATGACCAAGAAGTTCTCGCCATAGCTGATTAAATGACGGATGAGCTGTGAGAACATCGATGTGATTGGCGAGGAGGCCGGAAATACCATCAAGAACCACAACAGCAGTGTCGTGCCAGTCCACTTTGTCCCTTTCATTTACGTCGTCATTGGAAGCGGCGTCAAGCTCTTGCTCTAGGGAACAAAGAAGCTTGAAAATGACCGACTTGATGCATATTGACCAAGCTTCCGGATTTAGGCGGCCGCCATTTGCATCAAATATTCTCAACAATGTTTGAATGGCCGAGTTTCGCAAGTCCAGACGCTCATCTGAGGTGACTGTGGCTAGTCTGAGAAGTAGTAGCATCCACAAGGCAGCATCTGAGCCCTTTTGTGTGTGATCTGCTGCCTTCCTTTCTAGCTCGGACTCGTCAGATCCATTCAATAGATCCGCTCTGATCTCTAGAGTATTTGCTTTTGCAGAAAGAAAATCTGACAATACCCAGAAGAAGGTGACCGTCTGCGATGTTTTAATATCAGTATACACCACACGCTCATGAAAATATATCATGTTAACTCACCGTTAGCGCAATGTTAAGATCATCGTCCTGGGAGCAAAACTTGTACAACGTATTCACCAGAATCAAGAAGCAAGAATTAGGAAGAGAGGACAAAAAGTCAGAGCAAATAAGCTGCAATGAGCCGAACGCCGAACGAGTCAGCTTGGGTGACCGTGTGGAGAGCAATCCGGCCCCTGACTCTCGTCTACGTTCATGGATAGCATTTGAATTCACGAATCCGCTGCCAATGATGTCGAATGCAATGTCCCAGCCACTCACCAGGCTCTCACCACAGCCCTCGATCAAACTCTTTAAACCTTCCAGGATAATTCTATGGACCTCAATGTCTGTCGCCACACTGGCTACTGATGCGGAGCGAGCGTTCTGGTTCAGAGCTGTCAGTGCATCCCGCAAGGATGAGAGCAGCCTTAACTGCACCGGACCTCTGCTGTCTTTCGGTATCGACGTTGTTGCAGTTGCTGCTTCGAGGATAAAGCGGGAGAGCGTCTCTGCAGCTTTGACCCTCACAGGGGCCCCTAGAGTGGGGGAATCAAGGGCGTGGATGATCTCGTTTATCAGAATATCCCAACCCGATGCCGCCGGGTTATTCATCAGGAGCCTTTCCAAGTTCACATTCGCGATTTCGCCAAGTTTGGCCAGTGCGAACAAAAATTCTTGATTCGGCGACGTAGAAATAGTGCTGGAAAAGCTCAACACGCGGCGGTGGCCATGGCCAAGCTGTTTCTGCGAGGACTCCATGGGTGACGGAGAAGCTGGGTCACCCGCCTCTGGTTTTTCTGGAGAGTTTTGCTTGAGGAGATTACACACCGCTTCGACAACTTCGACGAAAGGTGCGTTGGGAAAGTCAACAGTGCTTTCGATCAATCTCGAGGCAGCAGTTTCAACAGATCTTATCTCATTACTAAAGTTGGCCATTAATGAGTCGGAATCACCGCCATGCTCGGCTCCGCGGCCAATGGACGGGGTTCGACCAGGTGCCTTGCCAGTGGCAAACAATACGAAATCTGCCTGTTGCAAGGTCTCAAAGATGATGCCCCATGCTGAGCCCAAGGTTGGGCCAAGTGCAATCCCGAGGTTGAGAAGGGCTCGCAAACAGAGTAGATTTCGAGTGTTCAACGACACTGCGGCAGCGTCAAAGGAGGCATTCCGTTGCTTCTCTGCCGAAGGAGAGGCCGGTGTTAATGTCTCAACACTTAAAAAACCACGGGCATTGCTGAAGAGTGTGTTTGCCGTGTCAGAAGGGGTGCTGGGCGCAACAGATTTGGTCTGCCCCGAGTTCATACAAGCAGTGAGCAAATTGGGCGGCACAGCAGATTTGCCCAGTGTTGACAGGAAAGCGTCTCTTGGAGTAGCAAGCTGCAGCAGGCCAGATACATGGGCAAACCTCTGAAACGATCGCACCAAGCTGTGGTAATACTCGGAATCTAGGGCAGCGTATAAGAATGTAGAGAACGTTGCAAGAATGGCAGGCCAGCATTCATCAACAATAGCGGCGCAAATTTTGATGTCTGGGTACATTGGGTGATCTCTAAGTTGGAGCGGATTGACGGGAACCGGATTCTTTTTGAAAGAAGCTGTCCGTTCTAAGCCTGCTACTCTCTTTTCCGGCGGGTCAGAAGAAGCGGGAGAGTCTAGACCAGAATCGTGCTTTGAGGCCTTGCGGCGGTTGCGGCTCTCGGCAGGGACCGTAAGAGGTAGGATAAACTTGGCCAAACCGTCAGATAAAGATGAGAGACACGACAGAATCAGACTATAGACGTATGATTCGGGGATCGACGGCGGGTCGGTCTTGTCAAGTTGGTCAATGCAAGGTACCCTGACAGAGCTCCACTGAGTGCTGATGCCCGTGTTTGAAGCTTCAGAATTGATGGAGCTACTAATGATGCCACTCATGCCAGCCTCAAGCATCGCCTGATCTGTGGATTGAGCAAGATTTGTCGACGCATCGGACATTGGCATGGTAGATTGATGACCAAGCCCAATTACTGCAGGCTTTTCTGTGCTTAGCCTGACAAAGGTTGCTGCCAGTGTCTTGATGATATCCCTCTCCCCCTTTTTGTCATCATATAGGGAGAATATCTTTCGGACCAAGACGTAGTCGCTAAATATGCTTCTGAATACTTCCATGCAGAGCGCTCTCTTCCACAATGCCGAATCCTGGTCCAGTAGGTGTGTGAGGATTTCCAGAGCGTCACCGCACTCTTTTGGCAAAATGCCAATGTGTCTTCGCAGCATTGTGTACAGAATGCGGACAAGTCTGACTGTGGTAGCAAAGGAAGGCCTGCCCTTGAGAGCACTGAAAATGAGAGGCATTACTCTGACGCGAAGAATATGTGCCTGCTCAGCGTGTGTGGTGAATACAGAGGCGTGATTTGTTATGACCGACTCAATCAGCTCCAGCCCGAAGGTTTGTGGAAGGCTCGAGAATCTCAAGAACTCTGGTCTCTGGTTCTCAGTCATGAGGCACAGATCGTTAAAGATCTACCAAGGTCGGTTAGCTACATTCGTGTCTTTGGAATTGCATGAGATAGCCTACTCTGTATGCATCAAGAGCCGCTGCACGAAGCTGAACCGTCCCATCCGCAGATGGCGCTTCACCAACCACCGGTGCATCTGCTCCATTCTCTGAACAACTTGTCAGCATCAACACGTATTGTAGGGACCTCCCACAAACCAAGAACTTACTATCTTCTGAGACAACCTTATCAAATACCGAAACAACCAACTGCTGCAGCGTTGCGGCACTCGTATTATTCACAATCGCATTCTTGCTACTTTGCAAAATGAAGCAAATGTTCAACGCTGTCACTAGCAAATTCCCATTCAGCTCGGCAGAGTAATTCTGCAGCAAAGACGGCAGAGCCTGCAGAATCTTGAGCTGAACATCTAGCCCAGCAGAAGATGCCTGCATCAACGCCTCCAGGACTTGGTTGAGCTTGGACTTGGGCAAGGCCTTGGCGACGATGAGCCGCTGGAGGCATACAATGGCGATGGCGGTGAACTTTGCGTTTTTCGTTCCGCATGCTATGATGAAGGGGTTGACAAAGTTGGGTTTTTGCGAGAGCACTGGGCACGCGAAATGGTTAGATGACGATACAGTATTCGAAAGAGCTTGGGTTTGACGATGCGCATACATTCTGGGGCTGCTTGCTCGGATACGCTGCCAAGCTGCTTGAGCTCCTCAAGAGACTTTTCAGCCGCCTACAAACTGAGTATTAGCGCACTTTCATAAGTCATATAACTCGATTGAGTGTCACACGATGCGCTGCAGGCGTACCTGTCTCAAGTCATTATGCTTCCTCTTGCTCTCGTGTATGAGGTTCGCCAACTCGTTGGCCAGCAGTTGCGTCGTCATGTTGGACTAGCCCGCGCAAAGAACCGCCCGTACGTACGCAAAGAATCCCGTTTTCTCATCCATGCAGCTTCAGGGACCAACCGACGCGCAGCTATCTATCCAGATGAGATTACGGAATTTACTGTTCAACGGATGGACTCTTCGGTCTTGGTGTTGGCGTCTGACACGAGGGACGACTGTGTGAGGTGTGATGCCTGCCAACAAAGGGGACGTGGCAGGTTCAGACCCACATGCACCCGCACCTTCTGACCTCGTCAGAAGAATCTACAATAACTGAGGTGGTCAAGGGTTCGAACTCCTGGCATAGCACCAGGGTAGTTTTTTTTTAGGGTTTCGTCCTCTTTACTCTACAGTGGCGTTTCCCTTTTATTGTACAAAAATCCCTTTTAAATATGATTTCCTTGCAGATTGGGCCTGGGAGTATTTATTTCCGAATTCTTGAAATAATCTTTGTGTTATTTTTTGGCTATGTTGTATTACTGAATGTAGGCGCAGGTATTGACACAGCTCCACGTCTAGGCGCGTTGTTGGAATGTATATCGCGTACCAAGACTCTCTGCCTGGGTAGCCATTGTTCTTTCTTTCCTGGGGCGTATTAAATAAGAATTTGGTTTCGCACTAGTATTAAGTTTCCATATGTGCACATCAGAAAGATGGTGCGTGTTGCTTGAAATACGTAATAGTTATAAAGAGTTGCCAGTTATATGGCGTAACCACCCGAAGTAATCCAATGTATCAAAGCGGATGACAATCCAAGTCCATACATAATCATTTTCTCCGCGAATCTCCCATTATCGAGGCTATAGAAGGACTTACGCCCGTGCCACGTGCAGCTATGGTGATTTAACGAAAGTCATGGCAGAACCAGCTCTGCGAGTCAAGCGGCCAGGCAGCTAGTGCAGCAAACATGCGCTTTATTCTAAAATTGTTTCAAAAATAGCGCAACAAAAGGGTCTTTGCTTCATAAATGAACAAGCAAATCAATCTCAACACCAATGACCAAGTCGAGCTCGGCTCCTCCCAAAATACAAAAATATCCTCACAGCACTGGGGAGCATGTTAGCTAAAGCTCGTTGTTCCATGTCGAGTGTAGGAGGCTGACTCACCGACGCCAAAGCAAACTTCAAATCCAGTCATGAACACGTGAACGCTTAAACAGGAGCGTTGGTGAAAAGGTAAGAAACAGATTCACCGTTGTGTGTGCGGCGGATAGCCTGTATATAGAGTTAGTAGTTGTGAGCTGATTTGATCTTGATGATGAGAGCTGTTAATGCACATACCTCTGCCAGAGTGGCCGAGACGTCAATCACCATGAGTTTGGGACATCTGTCAGTCTTATCACCGAGGGGAACGGCTGTAGACATTGTTAGCGTAGTGTTTTTGGTAGGGCAGAACAATCTCAAGTGTAGCTCACTGTTTGTGACAACCAAGCCGGCAAGGCAGGAAGCGTTGATGTTCTCGATAGCCTTGCCACTCAAAATGCCGTGAGTGACAATGGCGTAAACCTCTTTGGCACCGTGCTGGTTGACGGTCTCGGCGGCCTTGACAAGCTGTTGCAGAATGGTTAGTTATGCGGATACAAAAACAACATGGAGAAGGGGCCGGTTTGCATACGGTTCCGCACGTATCAGCCATGTCGTCGACCAGGATGGCAACCTTGTCCTGAACATCGCCAACCAGGACCATGCGACCAACGACATTGGGGCGAGGTCGCTCCTTGTGAATGAGAGCAAAGCCGACATTCAAGCGGTCAGCAATGGCAGTGGCTCGCTTGGCACCACCGGCATCGGGGGAGACGATGACGCAGTTTTCTGACTCCAGATTTTCGCGGATCCAGCGAAGAACGGAAGGCTCAGCATAGAGGTTGTCGACAGGGACGTTGAAGAAGCCCTGAATCTGAGAGGCGTGCAAGTCCATGGTAATGACGTGATTCTAGTAAACGAGAGTCAGTGAAGGTGGTCAGCCGGTCGTATAATATGGCCTTGATCAGTTTTACATACGCAACCAGAGACTTGCAACATGTTGGCAATGAGTTTGGCGCTAATGGGCGCACGCGACTTGTCCTTCTTGTCCTGGCGAGCATAAGGAAAGTTGGGGATGACGGCAGTGATGCGACGAGCAGAAGCAGTTCGGCAAGCATGGATCATGATGAGCAATTCCATAAGCCCGTCGTTGACGTCTCCGGGGGCAGTGGACTGAAGAATGAAGACATCTTCATCTCGGACAGATTCTCCAATGGACACACTAGTCTCCTGATTTGAGTAGTTGAGACTCATTGTGTTGGCGACATTGATGCCTAGCCTGGGGTGAAATATCAATCAGCCAACGACGCCGGGTGGATACATGATGTATGATGTGCAAAAAACAAAATAATGCATACCGACTAGCGACTTTGGCACTAAGCTCCGGGTGAGAGCTCCCCGAAATGAGCTTGATTTCGTTTGCCATTTGGTCCAACATGGCCGATGATGTTTGGCGGGAGGGAGAAGTCGGGAAAGAGGGCAGATAATGTCGATCGAGGTTAAGTGAGAGAAATTTTTAGCGGCACCCAGAAGGCTGCAAGATTCGCGGGATGCGGGACTGGGATTGATCCCGCTGAGACTTGAGTGAGACCGGGACTGCGAGGGGGGCCTTTGCCTTTTTGTTCAATCACGCACTTGATACTTGATGGGTATGGAAGTAGGCGGCGAGCGATAACTCTACTACGCTCGTGAGTTGCTCATGGATGTGAGGCGTCGAAGGATCTTTTTTTTTTTTTTTTTTTTTTTTTCACAGGGTTGGATA